TGAGAAAATTGTAATCAAATAAGGTTATAGTGGAAATCCCTTGGAAGTGCAAGGGGACTGAACTAATCCTGATTTGTAAGAGGAACCATGATAATTGGTTGTGTGTTGTCTTGCTCTAATCTTTACTTCTGTTCGATATTATTCTTCTGCTATCCATTATACTCTGAATCAGATTATGAATATTGTAATCAGAATCTGGTAACAAATCTTAAGGAGAAAAAGAAGAAAAAGCCAACACAATTCAACCCAATTCTTGTGTTTTTCTCACCTTTAGTCAGCGCAATTAAATTTAGGATTGAGAGTCATTATGCATGGGGAAATTATTAATACCCCATGACATCTGTTAAAATAACTATTACCTTTAATTAGTTTTGTAAAAGATAGTGTTAGCCTTAGAGTGTTCAATTTCTCCAAATTATTACAACATATTTACAAGGGAAAAAAGTTTTTATTTAGGGTGCTTGATAAGATGCAAATCTTTCTCTTACATATCCCTAGGCGCGATGGAGAATTCAAAGCTACATAGTTCTGGATAGAAAAATCTTGTGCGCTAGTTGATTTTAAAGAAACATGTTTTGATCATGTTAGAGCGGAAAAAAGTTGATTGTTGATCGTGTTAGAGAAGAATGAAGCGTTGTTTGTAAATCACGTTAGTATGGATAAAACATTTTTCGTAGACCAGAAATAAAAAAAGGATTTGTAAGGCAGAAGGAAATTTATTTGATTGATTGTGATTGTTTTAGGAGGAAGACAAGTGTTAGAACGAGCAAGCTATACGACTTGCGTCCGAACACTCGAGGATAAAATGATATACATCCAATTAATCCCCTTTCATTAGATTTTTATTTATAAAATATTTGAGACAAAGCAAGTCATAATTCCTTAAAGGAAGACAAACATTCAAACAAGCAAGCTATACAGTTTGGGTCAGAATGTTTGGGATCAAAGGTATATACATCCGATTAATTCTTTTTAGTCCGATAAGATAACAAAGTCAAAATGATATTAATTAAACTGTTTTTAAGATAAGACAAATATTCGAACAAGCGAGCAATGTAGATTGTATCCAAATGATTAAGGCTCAAAGGGACAAATGTTCAATTGATTCTTTTTCATCTGATTTTAATTTAATTTTTTTATTTAAAAATGAAACAAGTTGTTATATTACTTGATTTGATCATATCTAGAGTTTATGAACTCCTATTGAGGTGGAACCAATGATAAATGAAAGCTTACAAAAAGAGATATCTAATTCTAATAAGAAATGAAAAAAATCTATTAGCATGGAGAGAACACATGCATCATACATACAACAATAACACACATACATAATGACATATGTACTATAATTTGATCATATTTTGAGTTTCATAACTCCTATATATTGAGGTGGGGCCAATGGAAAATGAAATCTAACAAAAAGAACTATCTAGTTCCAATATAAAATGAAACATGAAAGCTATATTATCTATTACCATGGACAAAACACAAACATCATACATAAAACAGTAAAACACATACATCATGACATATATTCAATAATTTGATCATATATAGAGTTTCATAACTCCTATTGAGGTGAGATCAACGACAAATAAAAGCTAAAAAAAGAGATAACTAAACTGAAAATAAAAATAAAATGAAAAAGATATGAAATTTATTTCCAGAGGCAGTACATAATGAGTTTTAGGAGTTGTGATCATTCTATGCTATTATTTGTCATACTAAACATGTTGTTATGTAGAGTTTAAAGTTTTAGCTCAAACAAAATAGCATATATAACAAAAACAAAACATATTCAAGAGTATACAATCATATATGAATAAAAACTCAACAACACATAAAGAAATAAAAATGAAAGATGTGGAAAAGGAGGTTACCAACAATGAAGCCTTTGGAGATGGAGAATATTGGTGTTATTTGCAAGACCAATCAATGGATTCCTCCTCCAACTTTCACAATAATAGAAAATCACTTTCTCTCTCAAAATTTTCAGCCCTTCTTTACTCTTAAAAAGCTCTCTCATTTTCTTACAAAAATGATCACTATTTATAGTGGACTGCTAGAGTTTTGAGTGAGGATAATGATAAACTTTGCTAGGATTTTGAGATAGTGATGAGACGTAAAAAAATGAAGGTTTGAGGGAGGTAAAATGACTGTCAAAATTTGGTTCCTAAGTCATCTAAAATGTATCATGCAAGACAACAAATGTATCACCAAAATGATAAGACAAAATGAGGGTAAATGTGAAAGTAAAAAATGACTAGTACTAAAGAGGACGATTTCCTTGTTAATGTTAAAAATTAACCTTTGTAAATTCCTAATTATTTTTTGATCTTGATTAAAGATTTTATCATTCATCCTTTGCCTTTGAATTTGATTTTTTTAATGAATTTTGACAATTTGTTAGAAAACACTAAAACCCTAAATGCATGATTTTTTTTTTGGATTTTCATGATGAAATTAAAAACAACGGTAATAGAGGATAATGAAGAACGAAAAACTATATTTAAATACTTTTGTATGTTTGAGGTTAATTAATAGATTTAAAAAACTATGAAAAATTGAGAAATCGATTTTTATTTCCTAGACAAAATTTGAGTACTACAGTGGTATCGGAGTTGATAGTTCGAGTAAATGACCAACTTCTTGTATCGAAAGTCTTCTTGATGTGGTGGTGGTTAGACGGTGTTTTCCATTGAAGTGGCAATGACACGGCGTGGGTGTCTCTGAACTGCGATACAAGTATATGGATGAAAGAGCTTCCACTTGAAGAGGAGTATAATGGATGAACTCACACTTGAGCAGGGAGATTATTGAGAATGAAGTGTGACTTGTGTAAGTTCCACATTGTTTGAAAAAATGGAGGTTGAACACTTTATAAGTGAGATGACCCATACACCCATTGCATTAAGATTTTGGATGAATATGTGATGTCTCTCTCACTTTGTTTGGGTGAGTATTTGATCTTTACGTGTGTATTTGACCTAATATGGATGCTTCTCCCCATGATGATCCACCAGTGGTATCAGAACCGATGGTTCAAGTAAGAGATGGACTTCTTGTATCGAACGTCTTACTGACATGATAGTGATTAGGAGGCGCTTCCCGTGGAAGTGTCCATGACGTGGTAAGGGTGTTCGTGAACGGCAATACATGCATGTATGTGGATAAAAGAGCTTCCGTTTGAAGGTGAGTATAGTAGATGAACTCACACTTAAGGGAGAGATTACCGATAAATAAGTGTGAGTTGCGTAAGTCCCGTATTTATTAAAAAATCGGAGGTTGAACACTTTATAAATGAGATGAACCATATTGTCTTAAGATTTTGGATGAATATGTGGTGTGTCTCTCACTTATTTGGGAGAGTCTTTGATCTTTAGGTGAATCTTTGACTCAAAGTGGATGCTTTCTCTAATGATCATCCATCAGTTTTATTTTAAGAATGTCGTGAATGATCGTCTGACTTAAACAATTTTTGACATTGTAATGATACGCCTTAAAGAGGGCAAAATTCTAGTTTACGACTCTTGATCAATAATTTTTTCTTTAAGACTGATTTTGAAATAAAAAAACATTTATTTTTTATACTAGTAGGATCTTTAGTATGTTAGATAAGTCAAAATAATGATTACCACTCTTTTTATTTTTTTTATTTTTTTTATTTTTACGAAGGGTAGGAGCTTAAAAACAAACAAAAGCCATGAAGGAAAATGACACAAGAAAAACCATGAAATAAAATAAAGGCACAACATATAAAAATATCATACAACTCCTAATCCTTGCCCAAGTTAAACTTAGGGTGTAAACGACTCGATTAGATTCCCATTCATTTATTGCTTAAACAATATAGATCTCATTTTCCACAACAAATTCGAATGCACACATTTTTATGTAAGAACTTATTTTACTCTACTTTCCTTATCTTGTCACATGATTTTTCCAACACCAATCAAACACCTTCCTTAAGAATCTCTTGTATATATTTTTATTCCTTCATAATATTTGGACAGCTAAGAACATTGTCGTCGTGACTTGTGAGAATGAAAAAAAAAGCCAAAGTCATAAATGTATTGGAAGGAATAAAGGTCTTCCTTAATTACATGCTAAGATAGATATCACCTCTCTCATCTCTGCATTATACCCTTTAGCTGTCACAAATATAATCATAATAATAAAAATAATTGAATTATTTGTTGTAATCTACTACCAAACACAATAATGAATTTAACTTGTTCTCTGATGTGTAGTCGCTGTATAAACAAAAACTGCATCACATGGGGATGTGCTGGCATGACAGAACCAGTTCCAAAGATGTTGTCCCTACCAATTATTTACTAGTTGTGGAGATTCAATGCTACATAACCCCACATGCCATCTTTCTACTCATCCATCTTCTATTATAATCTAAACATGCAAGACGATCTATCGCACATGGTTCATAATAATTAAATATTGAGACTAAAAATTATTAAATAAAATTTAAAAAAATATTTGTAACAGTTAAATTGCTAGCGTCCTTAATTATTTTATTATAGTTAAACTGAGACTAACTTATATAAATCATCTGAAAATTTAAGATAACTGATATTTCTACGATAACGATAACACTTGAGAATACTTATATCTTAGTTCAAATTCGGCTATCTATGGCCCTAGAATAGTCACTACTTGAGAACATTGAATGCTATAGACAAATACTATTCTCCTCTATCATACAAAACTTATTTTTTGGACCATTAGGTTCATTATGCCTAAATAGAAAAAATAGTATAAGGACAATATAAAGCACATTGTGACATATCTCACATGGCTTTTCTAGAAAGCATAGTTTCAATGATCATTCTTTAATATAGTCAAATGTTAATATCAATTGTACTACCTACATTCAATTAATTTAAGCAAAAATTCAGTGTCACAAGATGCAAAAGATCTCATATAAATAAATCGATAATACACACAACATGTGGTGAAAAAGTTAGAGAAAAGTTGAAACACTCATGGATCCAAATGATAATAGCTCTTGTGAATCTTCTTTTTGTAAAGATGAAAAAGTGGAAGCAATGAATCTTCTTGAGGAGTGTTGGTTCTTTGATAACTTGTTAAATATAAAGCCAAAGATGTTAAGGTCTCACTCTGATCCTTACCCTTCAACTAGGCTTATAGACTCAGATTTTTTGGTCAAGGACAAAAGTGCTTTTGTTCAACCTAAGAAGATTCAAAGAACACCATCCATGTCACCAATTAGAGTGAAAAAAGAAGAAGAAGAAGATAAAATAGGAAGCAAATTGGTGCATCAACCATTAGATCCTAGTAAACAACATCATTGTGCAAAGATGAAAGGACTTCATCATAGAAGTGATTGTAATAGAAGGAAAAGCAAATTGTTGAGAACACCATCTTTGCCTCCATCATTAGGGAGAGAGGAAAAGTCTCAAGAAACTTATCCTAGAAATGGAAGATCCAAAAAACAACCATCAACACCAACCAATATTGAGAAGTTGCCACCAAGGTTAACCTCTAAGGTAATATATTAATCATCTATACTCTTTTTTTTTTTTTTCATTTATTATTTAAATGCGTAAGTTTTAAATTTTTTTCACCACAAAACCAAACACATATACAAATGTTTTGAAATTGAGCTCATTGTATATGTTTTGTTGTTCTAATGATAGAGTTGTAGCATACCAAGATGTAGACCATCCAAAAACATTGAAGTTGAAAGCTTAAACAAAGAGGGTATTATGGAAATGAGGAGAAAGGTTTTAAATCAAAAAACAATAAGAAGAAGCTTAAGTGATCTTGAGTATGAAGAAGTTCAAGGGTTCAAAGATTTAGGATTTTCATTTGAGAAAGAAGCATTAAGTCCAAGTTTAGCTAACATAATTCCTGGTTTGCAAGAGAAAAATAGAGATGAAAGTGAGGAAGATAAAGCAGCAAGAGGACCTTATTTATCAGAGGCATGGTTAGTGCAAAGTTGTGCAACTCCTCCTGTTCCAAATTGGGGGGATAATATGTCTGCAGATGATATGAAAAAGCATATCAAGTTTTGGGCTAGAGCTGTGGCATCAACTAAATGTTGAATATGTATGATCATAATTCATAAATGATACTTCACATATCAATTCTTTGTAGCAATTGCTTAAAAACATCCAAGATAATAAAGATAGTAATCATCATTTTTGATATTTATTTTAATTATATTATTGGTGATACTCACTAACTTTATTGATGGCTAGTCTATGTTAGAGAATTTTGTTAGCTCCCTTGAGAAGGAACTCTTCTTCTAACCTTTATTTTCTTCGTATACGGTATAAGATAAGACTCAAATATTATACTTTGTTTAAGGTATTTGAGCCGAGTTCCACTCGGATCAAGTTGTATTTTGGAATCTATTTGGTTACTATTTTGGTGCATAAGAGAAAATGGGAAGTAAACGGCAAAAACTATTGTGGGAGGTCTCTGGCACGGCGCTGGATGTCTTCGGTGACTAAAAAAGGGGACGTACATGTAAGTTTAACACTCTAATATCCAAGTCAGTAAAGTAAGAGAGATGAAACTTGCAAGTGTGTAGTGAATTATACCTTGGTGTGACACAAAGTCACAACTATATAAAATCGACAGTTAGAACTATCTCTGGTGAATGTGGTGCCAAGCGCAGGGACTGGTGGATGGATGCTAACAATAGAGATGGAGCGACACCTTACTTTAGCGCGTAGCTCCCCAATGATGGTACACATGTTCGCCAGTTGGAGTGGCGTGAGATTGGGTTGAGCCTCTAAATTAGACCGTTTGGCTTGCCTCAAACACTTACCCCCAAATATTTGCTATCAAACATGAAGCCATGATTTTAGCTATGTAAGTGCTATGAGTGACCGCAATGAGTTCTGTTATGGGAATGTCTTCTTTGCTAAAAAGGTTCACCGGGGAGAGAAAATTTTCTTTAAGGAGTTGAGTGGGAGTTGGTAGCCTTGGGAACATGCACATCAAATGTTTTTTTTGTCATCGAAACGTTGCTTAGTGGAGGACCTTCATGTGGATATAGTCACATAGGGTAGAGAGGTGAGGCCTTTAGTGTGGTTGAGTGTACTCGAGTGTCATTACGAGATTGAGGTTGCATCTAGATTGTTGATCATGTGTCAAACCCTAATTTTTACTCCTAAGATCCTACCTCTATTTGCATCATTGCATAGCATCAAGGTCACAAGCTGTGGTTGGCTCCTAACCCTCTTACATTTGAGTTTGCCTATGCAGACATCATCAAACACATTTTTGTTTTCATCTTACTTTTATGCATCACTAACCTCATGAAAATACAAAGATATACCTTGTTTGTTTTGTTTCTTTTACAAGATAGGGTGTTGAATCAAGAATTCCAAATGGTTGATTAATCAGAGTTTTTGTGTGTTCCTCAATACCTCAAACTCCCCCATTCATTCATGGTTCCTAAGATACCCCCCTCATAAATAATAAAATTTAAGTTTGCATCAATTAAAGTTCATCAAGCTCCAATTCATCATGTGCTCCAGATCAGGGTTTTGGTCAAAGTCAGCTTGATGTTGACTTTTTTGACAAAAACATGATCTCATGGCTTGAGAAATGGTTCAAGGGTCTCAAATATTTCTTTGTGGTCCATTAATTTGCCTCAGTTGGTTCAAGAATCTTGAGTTGTTGAAGATTGAAAAGTTTTGATTCAATTGCTAGAAAGTTAACAAATGCTCAAAGTCAAAGTTTGACTTTTGAGATTTTTGGTCAACTGTGGACTTGTCAAGTAAAAAATCAATAAAATTTGGAAAGTGGATGAGTTTGATCAAGTTAATTCAATAAAACCAAGAAAAGATCCAAAGTTGTCAAAATTAGAGTTTTGAAATTTTTCTAAGTATAAAAAATCCATGTTCAAGTGACCAACTTTCCAAGGCAATTCTGCTTTATTCAAGCATTCAATTTGAGCACTTGGGGTCCGAAATCAAAGATGATGTTTGATACTACAAGGTGATGAAAAATTTGAGGTTAAAAGCTTTCTTTAAGTGCTTAAAATGTTTTGTGAAAGTTGAGGTTTTAATTTGTTGCAAGAATCAAAACACTTAGAAATTTTTCTAAGTGTTGAACTCTTTCCAAGTGTATGAATTTATGGCCAATTTGTGATCAATTCAAGTAACCATTCTTTATGCTTGATGGATGAAATTGAAGAAGGTATTTCATACATCAACATAGTGGAAAATTTGATCCAAAAACCTTTTTCCAAGTGGGAGAAATTGAAAGCTAAAGTCAAAGATTCATGTTGTTTATAACGGCGAGATGACTCGCAATTTTCACTAAGTATTTGAACTCAGTTTGTTTGGCACGATTTTGAGTGATTTCCAAGCCTTTTTACAAATATATGCTATCTTTAAAGTGATATCATTTTTGTGCAATTTGGAGAACTACACAAGGAGACAAACCTGCACAAACTGAGCACGCTCAAATTGTGTTTGGCATGTTGTGAAAATTTTGGATTCTTTTGAAAACTTGTTCAACAAGTTGTGATATGCTTCAGATCAATTCAGACACCAAGCATGAGTTACCCAACCCTAGAAAACAATGCTCAAAGTTTCCATCCTAAGCCAAATCCGAACCAAAGCTCTTTGTACCTTCTTTGCCATTTTTGTTCAAATCAAAACTATGAGGAACCTACAAGCTTTGGCTTTGATACAAACCACTATCCTAACCTAAATGCAGCTCCATAAAACCATGTTACAAGCTATTGCATCAGGCACACAAAAATCACCATTTCAAAAACCCACTTTCACTCAAAAATCCATTTCTTCGAATATTGCATCCCTTGCAAGTTTTTTCTAAAGTTTCTCCATATTCATCACCTACACGCCTCACACAAACTTCTGAATGCATCCTTGAGCTTCTGTGCTCATCAAATCACCATATCCAACTTCATCTTCTTCAACCTGTAACTTGACTTTAGTAGAACGATTCATCCAGTTTCAGGGTAAAATACGCATACCAACTCACTCATGGGGACTCAAGGAAGCTAACCATATTGTTTATTCTCTTCTGGATGGCTTGTAAAAGAGCACCAGACTCTCTCCGATAGGTAATTTTTCATTGAATTCGAACTCTCACTTCCAAGCATCATTGTAGCTCATTATCTTTATAGTTATGTTCGTTTCAATGTGATAAGTGAAAGCCCTAACATGTTTAGAATTTATTCATGATGTATGGAATTTAATTTTACTTTAAGTTTTTAGGGTTTCTCTAGTTTTCCCTTCGGTTCTTGAGTTAGGGTTATAGTTAGGCAAAATGGACATCATTTTTGAACGAAGGGGTTATTTAGAGGGATATGGTTGTTGGTTTTCATTTCCAGAGGTGGTCACCACCATGCACGGTGGTGGTAATCAACGAAAATGTTGGAGAAGATAAAGTAGGGTCTGGCACCATTTTTTGGTTTAAAAATTTGAGCTGGCTGCTTCTGATTGGCTGATGCTTTTAATTTTTTTTATTTAAGTAATATTTCAATAACAATTTTGAAATATAATTGAAATTGAATTTAAGATGGATTGAGTTAATGTTGGGCCTGTACACGCGCGCTATTCACACCTCCCACAAAGCCCATGTTGGCAGGTTTTATGTGAATAGAACGGTGTTGTTTTTGTTGAAACCTTGAGTTAGGCTTGACTTTGATTGCTTTTCACACACCATGCAACACACAAGCATCTCCTAGTTTTATCTTTTCATTTTATTTTATTTTTGTTTTACTTTTTGTTTTATTTTAATTTCTTTTATTATTGTTAATAATTAGAAAAAATTATAAAAAATAGGTAAATGATATTTTAGGATTTTACCTTTTCTTTGATTTTTATTTTATTATTTCCTTTTTATTTTATTTTGTTATGATACTTTAATCAAGTGAACACCATGTTTTGATCAATATTTTTGAGCTATGAATCCTATATGTTTAAGTTTATTTTTGATCAACCCGTTGTCTCTTTGATACTTGGATGTCTTATTTTGACCTTGGCTTAAGGTGTTGACTTAAAATTGTAATCATGCTTAGTTGATTTTTTGAACCATAAGCACCATGCTAAGTGATGATTTCTTTTGGTCTTGATTCTTTCTTCTTATTTGCTTGAGACCTTCTTTGTTGATATTTGATGACATGTTAGTATTTGGACATAAGATTATGGTTGAGATACTTGAATGATTGTTTACTTGTTGTGATTGATGTTTAGTCCAAAACTCATAATGCCATGAACTCTTTTGAGTTAATCTTGAAATGATACTTGAATGAATGCTTTTTGAACTTTGAAATGTTGATTATTAATGCATGAACCTCCTTACCTTTTGATATGAAAACTTGAGATGTCTAGTCTTGATGCATGATTAGGGTTTCAAACTTGAAGTTACTTGGGATGTTTTCTTTTGAGGTTTCATGATTGATTGTTGTTTCATCTCCAAATGACTTGATGCCTTGCCTTGATAAATGTTGTGGATCTTTTGGTTACTTCATTTTGATTGACCTTAGGGTTTTCAGAAGTTCAATCATGACATGTTTTGATAATTTCCTTATGTAATTTGGTTTTTGATTTTAAGATTACTTTTTATGCCATGCCTTGAACACGTGTTTTGATTTGAATGTTTTATTGGCACTTGAGATGCTTAAGCTTGATGTTTGGTAGTGATATGTTCAAATACTTGCTTGATTTATGTTAGATGCTTTCAATTGAGTACTTTTTTTACCATGATACTTGTTTTCCCCCATGTCTTGATCTTGACTTGTAATATGACATGTTGCTTCTCTTTACTTGATTCATACTTGTGTTTGAGACTTGTCTTGTGTTTGAGTTTCATGATGCTTGATCTTTGGATGTCATGATTTTGTTTGATCTTGACCTAATTTTTTGAAGATTCTCATGTTGATAATACCATGCCAATGATGCTTGTGCTAGGGTTTTCTCATAATACATGATTAGGTCTTATTTTGGATGATTGATGTTTGATCACCTTGCCATGTGTTGATGAATGCTATTTTTATTATGGTTGTGATTGAATATAAGGAAAAGGGATTGTGTATGTTAACTTCTTGTCTAGT